AATTATTTCACAATTTTTATTGGGTTTCAGGGGGATGGATAGGTGCCAATGAATTGAACCTTGTGCTTTTTGGGTTGTTCCTGCTGACTTATGCCATTCGCTTGATGGGGGATCATTCTCTTACTTCAGCTCAAATCCAAGTTCAACACGCGCATGTACTCTTTCCTCAGTTGCCCTTTATTTAGCACAGTGGAACCCATGTTCCTCTCTACTTGCACGGACAGCGTTCTTTTTGTGGGGTTTTCATTAACACAGATGGCTTCTTGCTCTCAGTGAAGGCTTATGACCGGTTGGTAACCCCTGTTACTCTTTCCATTTGAAAGTGTCCTTTTTTGGCAGTGGCACACGTATGCACTGTGTATGGTGCTGTCACTGGCCCTCTGCAGGTGAACAGTTACCTCACTGACACACACAGGGTGTTTGGGACACTGTCCTGTTGTGGACCCAGTGTTTTAGGCCACATCTATGATTCTGTGCCATTGCTAATGCTGCCATGTTACCACAAATTTAGTTTTGATTTTAATGTTCCCTGGAATCATTGTCCTGTTACTTTCTAAATTTTGGCCCATTTACCTCATGTTTATAATTTTGTTCTTCTAAGTATCCACTCAGCAGTAGGCAGAAACTCTTCTCCACTGTACCTCACACACAATGGTGATATCAAAGCCTTTTGGATTTGTTTTCATTCACTCAGTAGCTCAACATTAACAGGGCCGATATACTTGACATTATTTTATCCTTCAATTCATGTTCCAAATTTGAGGAAGCTGACACAAAATGGTAGCAATCTAAGAGAGAGAAGTTTATTTCTCTTGCAGACTTCTCTTTTGGGCAACAGAAACATCATCTGTTAAATTTTCCTCAGCAGATTTTCTCCTACAAGTATTATCTAGCAGCTATCTTTATAAAATTCTTCTTTTCTTCAGTTTTCTTTTCTCAGTGTGGCTAACCTTCCTGGGTATGAAACTATGAAATAGAAACATCTTTTTTTTAAAAAAAAAAAAAAGTCTGCATTAGCATGGTCTTGACTGTTCAATATCAGTGCTTGTTCTCTAGGCTCCACAATTTATTGTAACTCTGTTCAAACTTTGACTGACATCCATATGTTTTGTGATGTCTTTCTGTTTGAGCAATGTCATTAACCTAGAATGGTCTAATTAGCTTACATTACTGAATCAAGTCCTTAATTGATAAAGTATGTCTTTCTTGAATTCATTTTCTGTGTTGATATATGCTAGATATTTGTTGTTCTTTATATATTGTATTTTAAAAAGTTAATTGACATTATAAATTATATATTCAGAACAACTAAAATGATTATTAGAGGTACCTACTCAAGGTACCCTGATTACCACAATCTAATTAACTAACACATTCATTACCTTCCATAATTAAACTGCATGTGCAGGTTTGTGTGTGTTGCAGGGAGGGGCAGTTCATATCTGTTCTCTAATCAAATTTCAATTGAGCAATGAAGAACAATGAACCATGGTCACCACACTGTACAATAGATTCCATGGAACTTATGAATTATATAATCAATCCTCCTGCCTTTTCTCATCAGGGTGACCTTGGTGAAACCAAAAGAGACAGTATAAGATAGTTGTTAAGGACACAAAATCTAAAGATAGATCACCTGTCTGTGAAATCTATTTCTAAAATCTAGTGCTTCGGTAGACTCTATTTATTCACCGTTCCAAATCTTCCCTATTTTATTACCTGTATAATAATGGTACTTTTATAACTTCTTCCCAAACCTATTTTGATTACTTACCTAATACATAACCCATGCTTATGATACAGTACTCATACTCAATTAGTGTGAGCTATTAGTACTGCCTGATAGTTCTGATGTCTACCTAAAAATTAATTGTAGAGACATCAACAATTTGGTAATATTTATTTGCAATTGTCAATGTATTTTATACAAAATAAAATCTTTTCACTTGACTTATACTCTATCCTTTTGCTACTCAAAAAACAAATGATTGATTTATAAAATACAGCAATCGAAGTTAATGTAAATATAGCACATCACCGTATTGATTGAAATTTAGCACTAGCACCCCTCTGAAAGAAGGGCAAAGAAATTAATTGATTGCATCATTGTCCTCTTGCTCAATAACACATACAAAAAAACTGAAATGTATCTAAGGAGTCATTACGTTTTTGCACATAACAATCCATGAATCCAAGCAGTCAGTTACAAAGTGAGAATAACTGGGAAAAAAACAAACTCAAGAGGTTTTATAAACATATTAAACATTTTATCATCTATGTTGTATCACCTGATGTCAAAAATTGAGAACATTGAGGAAAATGTTAGGTACAATCAGAACCTATGAATTACTGACTTATAAAATATACTCTGTTGACAGATCTGAAAGGAAAAAAATAAATGTATTCATTAGAAAAAATGTGTGATTGCAATGTTGGGAATAGTTTTCTTTGAGCTTACTCCTATGACTGAGTACATAATGTCTTCACATGCCCTGAATATAAATAGCATCAGGCACAGTTACACAATACACCAGTTAAAAATATGGAGCTTAAGACAAAATTGATGAACTTACATACCCAGGAAGAACACACCAAGAGAAAGTGCTGCAAATTTCTCTTCGGCCCTACTCAACATATGGACTTTCCTTTTTTATTTTTTTCTGATCCATGTTCATCTTGCAGGTTCTATAGTACTATAAAATTTACTTATACTACCTCTATTTCTTTGAAGAAAGTTAGATAATTTTACTGTTTTGTTCATTCATTTATTTTTAGCCAATAGCCTTCTCTGGCATGTAAAAGACAGTGTATCTTTATGCATTATATTTCCCATGGAGGCAAAATTTGATGCTTACACTCTAATTTATAGGAAATATATATATATATATATATATACACACACACACATACATATAATTTCATGTTACAGAATAATTTTATTTTTGGTTCCTGATATTATACATTAATAAATTCTACATTGAATAATCAGGGTATAAAATACGTACGCTAATTTATCAATGTCAAAGAATTAAAGGACTCGGACTGCCTATACTCAAATACCCTTGTCCTGTAGAACACTGTGACAGCTGCAATCTGCAGGGCAGATTTCCAGGGGAAAAAAGCCTTGGAGCTGTGCTGGGGAGATCTCACCCTGAGCATGGCTATGAGGATGAGGAGATAAGACACAAGGAAGAGAAAAATCACACTGAAAACAGATAATAATCAGAATTATCACCTACAATTCTGGAGCATTGAATTACAGGAAACATGGGAGTCTGCCACAGTAGAAATCACAGATGATATGTTTCACACAGAAGGATAACATAAAATGTTATGGTTACTAGAGGAGCCAAAATACAGAGAAGAGGGAACGATTGCTAGGAGCATCTAACAAACCCTTTGTGTCTTCACAACTGTATAGACAGGGTTATAAAGTTACAGAGGGAAATAAATGTCAAAAGCAAAAGATCACTAATGATGAACACAAGAAAGACATATACTTTCTTATGATTCATAATAAATATTACCAACATTTTGGGTCCCACAATGATAAGGTAGCAACAGCAGTCAGAATGGCATCTGAGCAAATAAACAAGTGATGTTTTATTTCCCAGAGTCCCCTTGGTGAGGCTGCTCATGTCCAAGTCGCCCACCACTGATTTAGGTAGACAGTGAGTGGCAGTCTGGAAAGGCACCTGCAGCTGATCCTGCAATCCCTGTTAGAATGAGACCATTCACCACCATTAGATGGATATTACACCCTGTCCCATCAAAGCCTATCTGGTTATAGACATTGGAATAGGAAAGAGATTTCATGTACTATGATCTGGGAGATTTTTAAAAGTGCAAATAGAATATAAAGACGATTCTGCGAAAATATCTAGTACATATTAGTTGAAGGTAAACTCATCTGTCACAAACAAAATGCTTATAAGTAAAGTCAAATTTAGAGACATGAAGTAACAATGATTGTCAACTGGGGTGGTTTGACTATGAAATATTATTCTTGAATACCCAGAGAAATTCAATTCCAAGTGTGAATGTGAAGGGTAGCACTATTGACATTTAATATTTATAGGTTAGTTATGCTGTTAAATGTCCTGCTATTTCCCATATGGAGAAGATAATATCTAGTCCAAATTATCAATACTGCTAAGTTTGAGAAACTTTGAAAAGTAGATGAAATTTATGTTTATAGATATACAAACAGAAATAAGAAAATATTTATTAAAACTTTGTAAGTTAAAATATGCACAACTACAGTATAATTCTTTAATGTTTTCTAATTTATCATATATAAAATGCAACTACAAAATGACATTTTATTATAATTTGGTCTTTTTCAGCAGCCTTGTGGATTACCATATAGATATTCACAACTACAATTTCTGGTAAAAAGCTCAAGGAGATTATGTAGTGGAAGGAAGAATGAACAAAGAATAATCATGTCCAACATAGAAAACCAACAGCGATATGCAAAAGAGCATGCTCATTATCTATAATCAAATGTAATTAAATTGATCTCATCAATTAGAGAATTTCGGTAGATTATATATTTAAAAAATATTATCAATACACCTTCAAATGAACCATACTCTCTGTAAGAAACTCAATGAGTTTATATTTTTGTTTTAAATTCAGAAAACACAATTAAAACAGTTTAAGGAACATACCTGTCCCCCCAAAATTGACAGAAAAGAACATATAGTTCACTGATGTAGAATTTCATAAGTATTCGATTTATCTGTAGAGGACACAGTGACTCAGAACTAAGGAATGAAGGAGTATTAAGAGAATGTCACATTTAATTGCTATTGAAACCATAAGGTTTAGCTTAGCTAAATGTGACAGAAACAATCTACTTGCCTGTCTGTTGCAGTTTACTCTGGAGCTAAAATATACGGAATCATTTTTATGAGAAAAATTATCAAGTGACATTTGCCTTTATTATAATTTATTATAACCACATGAAATACTGAACATTAAACACAAAGCTTGCATTAATGCTTAAAAACCCTATGGAAGGCATTTTTTACCTCTTTGTTCCTAAAGCTGTAGATTAAGGGGTTCAGCATGGGGATCACTAATGTGTAAAAGACAGAGGTCAGTTTATCAGTTTCCAAGGAGTGAGTGGATTTGGGCTGCACGTACATGAAGAGAAGAGTTCCATAGAAGACCACCACCACCATCAGATGGGAACCACAGGTGGAGAAGGCTTTCCGTTTTCCCTCTGCAGATTTCATCCGACATACTGCTAAGAGAATCAGCACATAGGACAGAAGAACTACCAGGAGGGAGGAGATCAAATTGAATGCTGAAAACAGCATGGTCAGCAGCTCTGTTTCTTGTGCCTGTGAGCAGATCAGAGGTGACAAGGGGACAACATCACAGTAGAAATGACTAATGACATTAGAGCCACAGAAGGTCAATGTAAAATACTTGATAGGGAACAGTACAGCCTGAAAACTACTGTACAGGTACAAAATGCCCACAAGCACATGGCAAAGTCTCTGGGACATGATGATGTTGTAGAGCAGAGGGTGGCAGATTGCCACGTAGCGGTCGTAGGCCATGGCTGACAAGATTGACAGTTCACTGACAATACACATGATGAAGAAAGCCATCTGGGTGGCACATGCATAATAGGAAATGGTATTTTGATCCACAATGAAGTTAACCAGCATCTTGGGGCAAATTACAGTGGAATTGCCAAAGTCAATGATAGCCAGATGTCTGATAAAATAATACATGGGTATGTGAAGATGGGGATCCAGCTTGGTCAGCATGATCATGCCCAGGTTGCCCACCACTGTGACCATGTAGATGAAGAGAAAGATCCCAAACAGGGGAAGCTGCAGCTCGGGCAGCCTTGTGAGTCCCAACAGAATGAAGTCAGCTGGCCCCGTTAGGTTTGAGTGGCCCATTGGGGTGATACAGTTCTGTGTGTTCTAGGAAGAAAAAGGAGGGTTTCTTAACTGTCCCTTTGCACTATAAAAATGCAGTATTTATAGAAAAAATTGAAATTTTAATACATTATAGGGGAAAGTCAATTAAATTCTACATCTGATTTTGAAATAAGGACAAATGATAACATACTCCACTTTGCAAAGTTAAGGATCCATATGTAACATCTAAATTAATATGATATAAATTAAACTCTAAATAGAATGAGTGAAGTTTGGAAAATATCCATTGAAGGCAAAGCCATATAGGAAATGATAAAAAACTGACTTTATTTCATCTATGCAATGACTGCAGTTTTCCCTTTGTAAACTTTGATTTTTATGAATTTAAACAGATCAGTAAACAAAATAGAACTGCTTTGATTAAAGATATTGAAGCTTATTTATCTTAATTCATGTGGATGTTCTGCCTATGACATTTGGTTTATATTCAGTGAAAACCTGGAACTTTTTATGATTTTTTAATTGGAGTAATTGAATATCACTATATTCAGTGTAGCAAAATGCAGGATGAAATTACTACCATGTAATCCAAACCCAACTTGAACCTGGGCAGCTCTCACCTCCAAAGTCTCTGAGCTCACCCCAAGTCCAGAACTGGAGTTGAGAATCACTGCAGTGCCAATGCACCTTGTGGCCATGGGCAGCAATTTCAGAAAGCTGCCTTTGGTGTCCACCCTGCCTTTCTGATATAGGGAGTGGGGCCCTGGGAGGAAGATGCCCCTGGAGTTTGCTTAGCTATTTCCCTATCTTCCTCCAGGATGAATATGTCTACTCTTTCTCCATTGATTCCTACTATTGTTTCAGATCCCATCTTTGCCCTCAAATAGTATATGTGCTGCCAAAGCAAGCACACAACTACAGTCTGTCTCTTTTTGAAAAGTTAATTTTCAATTTGAAGTGTTCTGGAATTGCTGCCCTAGGGTTTAATGTTAGAAAGTGAGATGCACAGGATTAAGGAAAGAATTCAAAATTCCAATACTTGTCTTACCATCCTAAAGTCTTCAGGGACTTCCTCAGAATGACTATAGCATGTTGATTATATCTCCATTTGCAGTGTCAGCTGCTGTCTAGCTCTAAGGGTATCTGCATGCATTTACACTGAATATTGCTGTGTGGAAAAAGTTAATATTTCAGTTTTGTGATCTGGTAAACTTGTTAGGAGGAATTTCAAGTTCAGCAATTTCTCCAAAGTTCTATAACTCTTAATTTTTTTCTCATTTTTCAGTTTATAATAACTATTTATCAGAGAGTAAACTCATAGTAAACAACCCAGTAGCAAAAAACTCCAAGACAAATATTTGCAAATTTATGTATGAAATATCATTACACAAAAATCATTGAATTTATAAAATATTACATGGCAAATACTTAAATTTTTAAATAATGCATCATATATATTAAAATTATACTTGTTATTTATTAGAGATTGCATATGATATATCCTACAATGGATTGTTCTTTATGTGAAAATCAAATATAACTAAACATCTTATAATTCATGTGGAAATCTTTTTTTTTTTTTTTGGTACCGGGGATCAAACTCGGGTCCTTGCGCTTAAGGAGCAGGTAGTGAAACCACTGACCTAAATCCCCAGCTAATGTGGAAATCTTAATCTTCATAAATCCTAATAAATAAGTTATGTGACGATGTTTTAGGTATTTGTAACTTCTTTTTTATTTGGAATTTCCAAATATCTATATCAACTTTCACAATTCATTGGTTTAGGATATACATTTAATTAAAAGCAGTTAAAAGTGTAAAAAAATCATGCTGCACCAGAAACCCCAATTAGCAAAGGAGCTAATGTGTGTTTTTTGCCTTGGATTTGAAGAAATCTTCTGACAGTTCCCATAGAAGTCTATGCTCAGAAGCCTGAAGTAATGACAGATCATAAAAGAGAAAGGCAATTCTTACCTTTAGTGCTGGATCAATATTTTTTTATATTACACCTTTTTTCTTTGCATTGGGAAAATTTATGGGTTTCTCCCTCTTATGTTGTTCCCTGAATAGGTAACATTTAATTCATTCAGATTATTATGCCAAATCTTCTGACTTAATAAAAGATGCCTTAATATATCGGGGAATGATTTAAGAACTCAGCATATTGCCCCTTGAGAAATGCAAGGGACATCTCAAAGGGAGGAACAAAAAACATAAATGATCTGTGTAATTCTGTGGAGATTTACATGTCTTAAAGGTACTCCATTACAGTGAGACAAGAATTAAAGCTATGTCTGTCCAGGTCAAGAAGTACTACACGTGGATAGAAATTTTATTAATACACTGCATTAAACAATGTTAATGCAATTATTTGTATTAGGCGTATAGTCATTCACTTTAGGTACAATCACTTGGATAAGATTCAATAAAACATTATCAAAATTAAAATCTACTGTTAGATAACATTTTATCAAGGGCCACTTTTATGATTGAAATATTTCTCAGGACTAAGAAAAATTAGGTGCAGAGAAACAGATCTAAACTATACAAATTGAAGTATCTTATTAAAAAGAATGTTTCATTTCTGTTCATTAATAGTTAATGATAGAGAAACATTTTCAAAACCCAAGAATATTTTATCACCATGCTTTAAATTTTGGATGTCCACTCAAAAAAGCACTCATCTATTCCCTTAGTGTTTAATGCATTTTAGAATTTTCCTAATTTTCCAATTTTTTAAACTGTGGCATATTTGTTAACCATGGAATGGTTTTTCTATCATAGCCCATTTGATCATTACCGGAGCTAATAAGGAAGTCACAAATTTGTTTTTATTCAGAAATTATGTGTTTGCATGATACAAAATTATGGCTTGGTTTATTTTTAATGTTTTAAGTACTTATTCATGTCTCAGGTTTACATTGTTTTATTGCAAACTTTGAGTTAACCTGTGTCTTTTATTTTATTTTTTGTATGTGATATATTTCCCACAGATCTGTTAAATTTTGTAATGTTAACTCAATTTCTCTGTACATAAATGTGACTGTTGTTATTTCCCCATTTCAAATCACAATTAGTTTCTGCAATGTTTAATCTGCCCTGAGGAAATCAACAACAGAATAGTTATTGCCATTACTACATTTATTATTAACAATTCAGTTGTTTCTTCATTATAATATCTGTTTTTCTTTTAACATCCATGTTAAATCATTCAGTCATTGCCAGTGATCATAACTGTTGTAAAGTCCTCGTGTATGACTTCCATGTCCCCATTGTGACTTATCTACTGCAGGTCATTGATTGTTCTTATAGTATGGGTAATACTTTCATACCTCTTCAAGAGACAAGTACAGAATTCTTTGGATGATAAACATTAGAATCATTTTGCTGCTAAAACTCTGAAGTTTAAAAAATTCTTTCAAACAGCATTAAATTTTCCTTTACTAGGCAGCTTATTTACTTGAAAATCTCTTTATTCTTTTTGCTTTGGCTTAAATTCTTTATTGGTACATTTTAGGTATAAAATATCTTTATATTTATCATTGGGTGCTTGTACCTGTACATGATGTATCTTGGTTCTTATTTTTTCCCCATTACCTGTGCATCCTTCACCCCTCCACCCTTTCCTATTTACATAGACTTTGTTTCCATTTTTTTTTCTTTCTCATAATTTTTCCTTTCCATTCTTTCCTTTCCCCATCTCCTTTCACCACCCCTACCCCTTTGGACCTTTTCCTATTTCAAAGTACTAGTTATTAGTTATTAATCCTTTGAATCCTTTTTTACATTCTCAGTTTCTCACACTAGAGAAACTATTCGGTATTTACACATGTATTAATACAGAAACTCTAAACTTGCTGGAAGATAAATTAGGTAGAACTGTTGAAGACATTGGCATAGGAAAAGACTT